CACTAAGCGAAGGCCTTAAAGGGCTACGCCTATACTCATAGAATCTGGGGTTACAGTACGTAACCAACGTTTTGTTCACCTGCAGTTCGTTGTCAATGCTGACTGACTGAATAAAGAAAAAGAATAAAAAAAATTTAAAAAACTGCAGCGCGAATTGAACAGAGCAGAGGCTGTTTTCAAAGGAAATTAAGTAAATTTTACAAATGACCAACGCAGAGAAAACTGTTCCGAGCCAAGTCCTCCAAAGTGTGGGAGCTCTTCACAAAGATAAAAACTGAGAAACATGCAGCTTTGAAAAAGTGACGACATGACACGGGAGAACCATGGAGATGAAATGTCAACATGTCGGAGTCACGAGGAAGAGGAAGGAGCTGAACAGCTGATACAACTCTTCATGTGTTGCAGGTGAGTCTCTACAATTTAACACAATGTTCTGTTTCAAGAGAGAAAATGTAACGTCAGTCTGTCTGGTAGATGAAGCTGCTGCTTGTTTGTTTGTTTATCTGATTAATGACGGTGATAGAGAACATGTGTTACTTTTTATTTAATTTAATTGGTACAAGCAGTGTTTAAATGTGATTTATAAATAAATCTAACACAAAAATAATAATTTAATGATTAAGCTTCAACTTTTAATTTGCTGGCAAAGTCTGAAGACACTGCAGGTATGGCAGGATGAATTGCATTTAAACAGGAATTAAAATAATTTATTACATCTACTCAAATGTGTGTAATTAAGTATTTTGTGTGTGTGTGTGTGTGTGTGTGTGTGTGTGTGTATAATTGTTCTTTGGGCTACTTATTTGCCTGAACCTAACACTGTAAGTGAAACAAGGCATTTCTTGAGTTGCTGTAAATTATGATATAATACATTTTACATACATGACATCCTTCATGATGGACAGACATCATGGACACCTCAGCAGCAGCTGTCTGGACTGAAAGCATCTTTAACACCATCGTCACTGACATGAGGCCTCTGTCGATGGTTGAAGACGAAGGCTTCACTACAATAATTCACACTTTTAATCCAGGTTACAATAATCCACACTTTTAATCCAGGTTACAATAATCCACACTTTTAATCCAGGTTACACTCTTCCCTCAATGACACATTTTACAAAGTAGCTACATACTGTGCAGGTATAAAGACACATTTGTATATATTTTTGTGTACATTTTTTTTTAAAGCTATTTGACTAACTTTTATTTTTTATTATTCAATATTTTACTAACAGAATAGTCAAATAGCAACCTGTTTTTTTGTGCAAATTGCTATGTCAGTCAAATGTTCAATTTTGGAATAAAGAGGTGGAAATTAAAACCTGTTTTTTTTTTTTGCTGATTCATCAATTAATCGAAAAATTAATCGGGCGATTAATCGATCATTGAAATAATCGTTAGCTGCAGCCCTAGTTATGGCTCAGCTGAAGTGATTGAGGACACACTTGCATTTCTGGACACAGCCAGAGGAGAGAATCCTATTTTCCCAAAACTCCCCGTCCACATGCAGGAAAAATAGATTACAGTAGGAGCCAACTACAGAAGCACAAACTGTGTGTCCTTCCCACCATTTAACATTTTTGTAGACTTTGTTACACAAGAACTGACTAAAAATGACCCCAGCTTTAACTTCACATGGTTTCCTGACGTTTCCAAACCACCCTGGAGAACAAACAGACAGAAAGAGATTTCAGTGCACAAAACTGGTGTAGTCTCTCACTCCAGTTCAGACATGCATAAATCTGCATCCAAAGCTGGGAGTGTGGAAAGATTTGCCACATTCAAAAAAAACCTCACCCTCTCTCAAAATGCAGAACATTTCATATGAAAACACTGGATGATGGGAAAACGTTCTTAAAGGAGAACAACCTTTGCTTCATTTGCTGTGCCTCATCTTCACACATTGCAAAGGACTGTAAAGTTAAGGTGCAGAGTTCTGAGTGCTGCAGGGAGAAGCCCTGCACTGCTCTCCACCCAGGGCCAGCACCCTGGCTAAGAGAAACTGAACCTGCAGTAGAGCATGGCGGGGAGCCTGACTCCACAGAACCAGAGGAGATCACTTCCAGCTGCACGCGGGTGTGTGGCGTGAATGAAGCAGGTAGATCATGCTCTAAAATCTGTCTCATTAAAAAGTGTACCCAGCAGGCCACCCCAACAAGCAGTGAGGCTCTATGCTATCCAAGGTGAACAAAGTAACAGATCATTAGTACGTCCCGAGTTCTTTGAACTGTTTAATGATTGTGGACACAGTTCTCCTTTCTCACTTAGGACATGTACTGGAACTAAAGACACAATGGCAAGGAGAGCTACAGCTTATGTAGTGGAGACCGTAGCTGGTTCAGTCCACATTCCACTGCCTAGCCTTACTGAATGCAAAAAAATCCCAAGTGACAGAGGTGAGATACCCACACCCAGGGCAGCTGTGCATCACAGCCATTTGAAGTCAGTAGCTCACCTCATCCCTGAACTGGACTCCAATAGCCCCATTTTAATGCTCCTTGGACGGGACGTTATTAGAGTTCACAAAGTCCATAAACAGATAAGTGACCTAACAACGTACCCTATGCACAAAAATTGGACCTCGGATGGGTCATAGTAGGAAACGTGTGTGTAGATGATGTCCACAAAACCCTTGTGGTAAAGACTCTGCTCACAAATGCCACTGAAGGGTCGTCCCACAATGTTAGAGCCATGCCCCCATGTTTTCAGTATCAAAGAGAGACATTGTGAAATACAAGTCCCATTCAACTTCAGCACCC